GAAAGAAGACCTTCATATTCTCTGTGTTACTTACATGGTCATTCTGCCAGTATGGAGACCTGCAGGATGAAGAGTCATGTAGGATAGGTCTACCTGGTAAGGTGGTCTGTGGATTGGTGTAGGTCCACAAACTGTTAGTCCAAGGCAAGTTCTAGGAAAGAAAGAAACAATTGTACCCAATATGTGTATATATGTGTATATATTATACAGAAATATGGTACTGATGGGGAGAAATTGCCGGTCACACATTTCAGATAGCTTGAGAGGCACTGATATGGAGAAAAATAGTATTGTATTTTACTCATAGGCTTGGTTCATACTTAACAACTAAATAATGAGTTGGCTGCCAAGAACAGGCTTTGTGGTCATTCCCTGCTCTCCTTATGTACTAACTTATTTTTTCATTTTCAAACCATCATTGGTCTGATTCAGTATTGCAGAAAATGATAGTTTGTTTAAGCTAGTGCCTCCAAGAAGTCAAGTGATGATCCTCTGTGTCTCATTTTTCTTTCTGTTCCTATTGATTTCCCATTTTTCTGTTCCTATGTGTACACAGTGGGCTTTCCCTAATTCCATTGCCAAAGTCTCTACTTGTACGTTCAAAGTTCTCTAGACTTGGAGGAGTGATATGGTTTATACACCTAATGATGTTCTATGAGCTGGCCATCTAGTATTTAGCATGACTCCTGTCTTCCATTTCAGGGGTTAGTAATGTGTTTCCCTGTAGATCAGATGTAACTGGACTGCAAGTTCCATCAGTCGTCAACTTTGGGTTCTGCTGTCTTTAGCAGATAGGAATTGCAGTTCAGCAACTGCAGGAGGGTGGCACATTCCCCACACCTGCTTTGTCATCATGAGGGTGGCCAAGCATGGAGCAGGTAATTGTTGCATTGTGCAGAATAAGAGGGGTAATTAAGTACATGAATTGCTGTGAGGGACTGTGCTTATTCTCTCATAGCATCTGCACTAAGAGCACTCTTATTTATTGACAGGTGCATGTAAACCCTTGCTTTTATCAGCCAACTGAAAATGGCCAACTTTTGCCATTGGACACAGATAAATGGCACCAACTAACCCCTGGTGACAGTTTTTCCTTGTTGGTAGATAAATATGCCTTCAGGGTTCTCTTCACTCCTTTGGATATGGAAACTCAAAGGTAATGATATCTGATGTGTAAAGCCACCAGTGGTGTTGATTGCCATGTATTATATTATACATAGTCTGGTATACCCATATGGTAATTGAGTCTAATGATTTATCTTACTGATGATCTGCTATTTCTTCTGATTATGGACACTAAAAAAATAAGATAAAGTGTTACAAAAGTTGTATGTGTGTAGGATGTAATTTGGAAAGTTACCATATTGATACACTCATGTGAGTTGTATCAGTACCATAATTCTCTGATTTTACATTTCTGAGAATGTAAAACAAATAATCAGAATTGCTAGGCCAAAAATTAAAGTGGAAAAGAGTGAGATCAAAGTGTAGTCTGTGAAAGCTGAGGAAATTGCTTTTTTTAAAATCAGTGTTTTGATAAAGGTATTGTTGGTCCTGTTAAAGCATGAAATAAACATTGCTTTCAGTATAGAAACCAATGAATGAAGTGCATTTCATGTAATATAAACTACTTTTCCACTTCCATGAATAGGTTTACATCTCCTGCTAAAATGATAGTAAAAGAGATATTGTGATAGTGCATGTAACATTCAGGCATATTAGTATCTGAGAGAAATCTCTATACAATTGCCCCTCTGTTTTTGTGGGGGATCCGTTTTGGATACTTCTGCCAAAATGGAAACCTGGGCATATCCAAGCCCTATAGGCTTGAATGGGGGTGTGGGATGTGGGGGCATGCACATGGCTGCATACTCCATTGTATGCCCCTCCGTTTGTCCCTTGCAATAAATGAGGGACGCGGATCTGAAGTCTGCGAAAACGGAGGGGCTACTGTATATGATAAATGAGACTATGAACAGACTAGGCTGTGCTGTCATAGAAAGGCTGATGTTAATCTACTGGCTTGGATAAAGAGCTTGTACATTGAGGAATTTGTAGTTTTATATCTTTAAAGTTGACATAGCTGTGAGTCAGACCTCTGGGAGCGGGTCAGCCAAGTAAATTGGCAAAATTGCTCAGTAAATTTTTAAAGGAAAATATATTTTTCTTATGTTTTTGAATTCTAATAATAATAAAAAATATCAGCAAAATATTTTGCCAGTGACGAATTGTTGTCAATGTGTTAGTGTGGAAGTACCTTACTATACAGTCGTCCCTCGGTTCTCGTGGACTTGGGGTCTGTGTCCCTTGCATATCTGCGGGCAGCGAATGGAGGGGGACAAAATGGGGTGTGCACCTCCATTCAAGCCTATGGGGCTTGAATATACGTGATTTTCCATTCTCATTGGGGGGGGGTCCAGAACGGATCCTCTGTGAGAACTGAGGGTCGACTCTATTGAAGTAATGGAACTGATTACAGTGTTCATGTCTGCCTGATCATATTTAATTAAAAAAAAAATTGAAAGTAGGACCTGGTGAAGGTCTTCCAATGGGAACAAAGTGAGAATATTAAGGCATATGCAGAAGCCTATCTCAGTAGTCATAACTCTTGGTAACTGAATTGTTATGAAAATATAATAATTTCCCCATTTTCAGTTTTATTTTGCATTGACTAACTCTGACTAGTACCATGTAAGTACACCTTTTCACTGTATTACGGTGCTGTAGAAAAAACTGTCACCTCCATGTAGAAGACAGACCAAATCAAGCTTCTTCAGTGCTTCAGCCAACCAGTATGCCTCATAGCCAGCCTCCAATGCAGCAAGCAGCCTCCTCCAAGAAGAGCCATCCTCTGAACACACACTTCTTGCTAGAGAAAGCAGTTGAAATTCCAAAGAAGGTAATTTGCAAGTATCAAGGTAACCAGAAGAACTCATAAATTGAGTTTTTATGGTAAACAAGTTGGTGGAATTTTATGGCAACACTACAGTGGGCATACCTCAGATGTAACTTATGTCAATGTTTATAATTTGAGCTATGTCCATTTCAGAAGAGTTGGTTTTACATAAATCTAATTTTGCTGCTGTCATATCAAGATGAGCAACTTTTCTTAATTTCTTGCAAAAGACTGAGTGAAGCCCACAGTGGCTTTTTGCAAAGAGGAGTTAGAAAGCAATCCTATAGAATTCTGTTGAGATGGACTGAATTTAAAGGGACTTATTCCCCGGTAAGTGATTATAGGATTGCAGTTTAAGAGCAGGATTGCACTGTTAATACTGAACCCAGTCATCCTTATGCCATATTAGTTGGGATTGAAAGCTGGTACAGGCAAAACACATTTATTTTATTTTGCCCTTCCACCAAACCATCACTATCAATGTTTTTTTTCTCTTTTGTTTATTATTTTAGATATTATGCACTTTTCAGCTGTCTAAAGCAAATGCCTATGTTTGCTGAACCACCAATTTACATTTTAACAGGATTAGTCAATTTGCTGTTTGGCCTCTTGCCCAAATGTTTACACACTGTAGATATGGCAGAATTCAAACATAATGGAATAGTTCTTTCCAGCTTTGGGATAGTATGGCTGCTATTCTGTTGCTCCCTTCTCTTAATAGACAGAGATAATGAAGGGGAAATGGACACCTCCAGTACTACAGTAAGAAGGAAGAAGCTCACTCATCGGTATTAGTCTTGAATGTATACCTAACTAGCTTTGTGCATTCATTTATGTATGCAAAGAACTTTCTGGAGATCACAGGACAAGGATAGTTACTGAAAGTCCTGCCTATTATTTTTCATACATTTTGGCGCCTAACAGGAAAATACATAAACGGTTTCTTCTCAGTTTTCTGCTAGCATTCCTGAAATTAAAGAACCACAGCCTGCTGAAAGGAAAAGAGTACTTCCAGCATGGATGCTGCAAGAGGATCTTATGGTTCAAAGTCAATTAGCCTCAGTCCCTGGAAAAGGTAGATATTTGATATATTTATTATGGAACGCTTAGCGGTTTTCTTCTGATTTTTAAAGTTCATGCAGTGATATGAATTCTGAACATATTTTCAGTTTAAAATTACAGTTCGCCCTCTGGATTTGCTAGGGATACATTCCCT